GGTCGACCGCTGGATGTAATGGACTGGAGTCGAGGACGGCTTAGTAATTCGTGTGTAAACCGTTTTTCATTCATATAGAGGAGGGTTGGCGGATGCATGGAATGGACTTTGGGGGTCTTTGCTTAGAGGACGAGCTGCATTATGGGTTAGTGATTGAGGTGATTAACTAACGGGGTTGAGAGTGTGATGTTGGGGGGGGGGGGGAAGGGTTCTGAGGGAAAGGGATAGGCCTGTTCCGCGGCCTATCCCTATTTTGGACATGTATGATCTTACCTAACATAATTTGCAGGGCCGAACCAAGGCTTGTGGGCTCCGTCTCTCCAGCCTCCGCCCGTATAATGCATTTATTCCCGCCCATTTTGTCTTATCAAACATATTGTTGAAAAACCTAGACAGTGGAGGTAGCCTGTATTATTTCCGCTTATAGCGCCGAAATCTGATCAGTACCGGCATATGTAAATGTTATTATAAGGAATAGAAAAGATTATGTTTACACGGAAACACAGAGAGTGCTACACAAATCATTGAATCATTAAATTCCCAAAACAGAAACCAGCGTCAAATGTAGTAAAGTTTCTCACCCCCCCCCCGCACACACACACACAACTAAAGCTCAACCCCCGCAAGCACAACTAGGCGAGTACAACTAGGTGAGTACAACTAGGTGAGTACACACACACACACGCACACACAGACACACACACACACACACACACACACACACACACACACACACACACACACACACACACACACACACACACACACACACACACACACACTATAGAAGACAGAAGAAAAAGAGGTCATATGATCACTACTTACAAAATACTAACAGGAATTGACCAAATTCACAAAGAGGAATTCCTGAAACCAGCAACTACACGAACAAGAGGACACAGATTCAAGCTAATGAATTAAAGGTGCCGAATAAATATTAGAAAGTTCTCTTTTGCAAACAGAGTGGTAGACAGTTGGAACAAGCTAAGTGGGAAGGTGGTGGAGGCCAAAACCGTCTATAGTTTCAAAGCGTCATACGACGAAGAGTACTGGGAAGACGGGACACCACGAGCGTAGCTCTCAAACTGTAATTACACTTAGGTAATTACACACTAGAAGACGTACCCGGCTGTGACCGGATCTCTACCCCCCCCCCCATTCCCCTTTTCCTGCTGTCGTCCCCTTCTCTTCCATCCCAATTTCCCCCTTACCCTTATCTTCTCCTCTCTTTCCTCCTTCGTCCCCCCCCCCTCAGAAAAATTATTATTACGAAGCACTGTAACTGCTGGACAATTGTATGGAAAACAGAATATATTTCAGCCTTCTTGAAAATCGCACATGAGTCTCTATAAAGGCTGATATTTCGTAAAGCATTTCTCTTGGGCCGACACCGACTGGCCTATGACACTCCCCTCCCCAACATGATTCATCCTAGAAAATTTGGTGAGGCTAGCCCCAAATGTCTAGCCTCTATCCTCGGACAAACAGACAGGCAGGCAGTCATTTCATTTCGTACACATATCCATTCAGATGGATATATACATATTGTATACATATCCATTCAGATTTTGTATACATATCCATTCATATCCATTCAGCCCTAGTATATACTGCAGATATGTTGATGACATATTCGTGTGTGTTGTTGAAAATACATTGGAGAGGTTTTGTGGCAACCTTCAGGAAGTCTCAGACTTGAAGGAAGTCTCAGACTTGAAGGAAGTCTCAGACTTGAAGGAAGTCTCAGACTTGAAGGAAGTCTCAGACTTGAAAAATGTCAGACAGACATTTTTCACTGTCTAGAAAAATGTGGGAGACAGAATCCCATTCCACGATGTTCTCATGGATAGTAATTCTGTTAGATTCATCACAAATGTATTTTGTAAACCAGCTAATGCAGGTAAATGTATGAATGGGAAGAGTGAATGCACTGACAGATATAAGAAACGTGTCGTTAGTGCATATGTAGGTCATGCAATATGTACATGCTCTTCTCGGTAACTCTTGCATCACGAACTCGACCGAATCCACCAAATTATTGCGAATGACGATTACAGCAATCCAGAGTTCACCGAAGTCATTAGTATGAAGCTAAGTCGCCACTTGACTGCGGATAATCAGCCCCAGGGAAGGATACTCAGCCAACAAGGGAAGACGTTGTAGTATATTGTAAAAATACATTTATTCAGGCCTATAAGAAGGATAAAAGGACAATACAGGATGTAATTGACAGGAAATGATGCAGTGAAAATGCAAGGATTTGTACTATCTTTTATTCTGACAGTCCTCGTACAGTTATCCTCGTTATGAGACATAACATTTGTACCTTACTTATAAATTGAGGTGTACCACTCTACTATATCAATACAAGTGCAATTCAGGAGACTGCGCTTCAACATGTATGCTATATTGGACATACCACGCATACTCTTGAGTAGACTTGCATTGTCAGGTGCCTTGATAGAGAAGTTGTCTTGCCTAATATACTGAGATAGTTTGGGCTGACAGTCCCCCAAGTGGGCATATGAAGGCATAGACAACATTCATCACTTTTAAGGCATTTCGGTTGGTTTTGGAAGATTTCTTCATGTGCAAGTTGGTGGTTCTTTTGCTCTTGTAGAATATTATTAATTCAGTTTTCTGGTTGGTGCTGGTAGGGGTCACATTTTATCAGTAATATCTATTAGAACTCTTTCTTCTGTCTTGTAGGCCATGGAAAAGAAGTTCCTGTAGAATATTTGCACAGGAAGGACCGATTATATATTGTTGGACTCTTCATCAGCTCTTCATTTCTTCGACAATATACATTAGAGTATCCATTATTGATTAAGACCTACTTTACTGTACCAAGTTCCCTGTCAACATACTGTACTTCCAACTGGAGCTGTGTGTGAGAGCACAGTTGACATAGCCATCGACAATACTGTTCTCCACTTGTATCTGTCAGGGCACTCACTAGTGGCATGAAGGCACATTCCTGATGTTGGTTTCTGTAGTGTAGGCTGCAGTGTAAAAGCCACCATTCCTTTCCAATATTGAAAGATACTTTCCAATATTCTCCAATATCAAAGAAAGGTAGCTTACCTTCGCTCTCCATTTTCCTAAATGACATTTTGCCAGGTACCTCCTCTGATATTTACATATAAATATATGTGCTATTAAATATGGCTCCTATTTATGTGTCCTATTGATTTGTCCTATTGATTTGTCCTATTTATATATCCTACTAGCAGTACCCGGCCACGCATTGCTGAGCCACAGCAACCTTCCATTTCCCCCAGTCCTCCCCACCATTCCCAACAACACCATCCCCTCTTCCTTCCCACCTTGCCCCACTCCCCTGTCCCTTTATCCTCCCCACCATTCTCCATTTCCCCATCCCCTTGTCCCCTCGTCCTCCCCACCTTCTCTCACTTCCGTCCCCTCATCATCTCCACCATTCCCCACTCCATCGTCAGATGCCTTCGCAAATAGTCTGATGTTCCCATCAGAAAATTGGGAACATTAAGTGATCTGATGTTCCCATCACCGAAATATAAGAAAAACAGTTAAAAAATGAAATGAAAATATGAAAAAAATAAAAAAATGAACTATACTCATGAAATGAACGTTATGGTAAGCAACACAGCTCAATTCCAATGCAATTCACACAAAATAATTAAATCAAAATGAAAATAAATCACCATCTATGAAAATTCAATTTATCAATGCAGTCAGAAACATTGAAATGGAATTGTAACATATTTAGTATAGCATGTGTGTTGCTCTTACATGCAACAGATGGCGCTGTTTTTCAAGAAAAGCATAGTTTTACCTGTCACAGGTGTGGCATCTATACTTATACTTACGAAATGAATGGTATAGTAAACAACACAGCTCAATTCCAACACAATGTCACGCAAAATAATTCAGTAAAAAATAAAATAAATCAAAATTTATGAAAATAAATTTTATCAATGCAATCGGAAACATTGAGATGGAATTTGTGACATATTTAGTATAGCGTGAATGTTGCTATTATGTGCAACAGATGGCGCTGTTTTTCAAAAACACATGTTTTTACCTATCACAGGGGTGGTATCTATATAGTAGGTATATAAAAAGACGCGCCTATTCGAATGCAACGTTGTGTCAAAATTTCAAAGCAATTGGTGAAGAACTTTTGTAGATTTCAGCGTGTGTTGCTCTTACGTCCAACAGATGGCACTGTTTTTCAAAAGAAGCATGTTTTTTTTCTGTCACAGGTGAGGCATGTATATAGTAGATATATAAAAAGACGCGCCTATTCGAATGCAACGTTGTGTCAAAATTTCAAAGTGATTGGTAAAGAGGTTTTGAAGATTTCCCTCACATGAAAAACACAGTTTTTCAGAAAAAGCATGTTTTTTTTACCGTCACAGATGTGACATCTATATAGTATATATATAAAAACCCGCTCGGATGCGAATGGAACGTTGTGTGAAAATTTCAAAGCAATCAATGAAGAACTTTCGGAGATTAGCGGTTATGCACAAACGAACATTTCCATTTTTATTTATATAGATAAATATGGTTGTTATTTACATATAAATACATGTGCTGTTAAATATAGCTGTAAGGGTTAGATCCATGATATGTGTAAATATATATGGCTACTAATTTGCATCTTCAGGTTATCTTGAGGTTATCTTGAGTTGATTTCGGGGCTTTTTAGTGTCCCCGAGGCCCGGTCCTCGACCAGGCCTCCACCCCGAGGAAGCAGCCCGTAACAGCTGACTAACTCCCAGGTACCTATTTACTGCTAGGGTAACCGGGGCATCAGGGTGAAAGAAACTCTGCCCATCGTTTCTCGCTGGTGCCCAGGATCGAGCCCGGGACCACAGGATCACATGTTCAGCGTGCTGTCCGCTCGGCTGGCCCCATCCGGACAGCTACTGCATGTGCCAGTATTCATCATGTTGAGGATATTTAAGGATTAATGTTTACACTTTTCTTATTAATGCATCCTCTCTTTCTTGCAGGTGAAGGGAGGGTGGATGTGGCAACCCCAGAGGGTGTGGTGTTGCAGAGGTGTGGGCGTGTCGACCTAGTAGCCACGCCTCCTAACTCCCCAGCACACCCCCATGGTAACTACCTGCCCCCAGAAGCCTTCACTGATCACCAAACACAAGAGGTGGAGAGGGTACGTGTTTCTCTGTTCCTAGAAAGTGTGCATGGGAAGGGGGAAAAGAGAGAGAGAGAGAGAGAGAGAGAGAGAGAGAGAGAGAGAGAGAGAGAGAGAGAGAGAGAGAACAAAGGAGAACAAGAATGAGAATGATATCTGCTCGCATCTTCATAAACTAAATCATTTCAGCTGTTGGTATTCTCCCTGGGACGGACACTATGGACAGTGGCCAGCCATGGTGCCATCACTAGTGGCTCTGGTGGGCCCAATGGTATTCTTCAGGGAGCCACCACCACCACCAAGCCGAAGCTATCGTCCAGTCTCCGGTCGACACTGTCTGCCATGACCCATACTCTCCAAGAACATAGACTCACACTTGTTGATATTTTTCAGGTTAGTAACTTTTAGTTTTAAGTATTTTGTTTACCAATATTCTCTTAAAGTCTTGGGAAAGCTATTCCATTTTGGTTGCAAGTTGTTTGTAAGTGCCAGGCTTGGTTCTCTTAAAATATAAAATAAAGAAAATAATTCAATTTTGTTTTGTTATTTTGAGGGGTTCAGTTCCTTAGCCCATTATGTATCTCTGTAGCTTTTCCCACTTCTGCTCACAGGTGTGTGCTTTTGTAACCCTCAATGATAATGACGACTTAAAGATCTCATTTCTTTCAGCTATTAGTAGAGCGTTTAAATAGCCGGGATCGTATCAACTACACGGCTATCATAAGATCCCTATATGAAGAAGTGTTGGGTCCTCCACGACCACCACTTCAGCCACCTGATCCAGTTGTTGCGAGGTGTAGGTCTTATTCGGCTCTTGAGACCACAAGACCCTCAACTGGTAGAAGACCTACGTCACTGAGTTTGAGTCTATCACAACACTCGACGAGCATGGAGGACTTGAGGTCTCATCGTTTCTCACCTGTACGAATGAATTAATTTTGACTTCTGTTTAGTAATTTAATGATTAATGCAGTTTAAAATTAAAGGGGCATTGGAATGTATAGTAAAAGGGATACTGTAGAGTAACTGGGATACTGTAGAGTAACTGGGATACTGTAGAGTAACTGGGATACTGTAGAGTAACTGGGATACTGTAGAATAACTGGGATACTGTAGAGTAACTGGTATACTATAGAGTAACTGGGATACTGTAGAGTAACTGGGATACTGTGTAGTAACTGGGATACTGTGTAGTAACTGGGATACTGTGTAGTAACTGGGATACTGTGTAGTAACTGGGATACTGTGTAGTAACTGGGATACTGTGTAATGACTGGGATACCATTTCAGGGATCCAATAATCCTGCATCGATAACTCGGACACAATCAACAAACAATTATTCCACACCACGACGTCGAGGTGTTACCGGTACATCAAGCATAAACGACTCGACTCTGCGTATATCCTCCTTCAGGACGTCCACCAGATTGGCAGATGATGTAAACTATTTATGAGTCATTTCTCAAAATTATGTTTTGAACTTAAGCAAAAGACTATCCAGGGCTGATTACTTGCTTTTTTGTTACAGTAATTTGTTTGGTTAATGTATATAATTATTTCTATTTGGGTCTTCTCATTAGATTGACTCACATTGTGCACAGTAAATGAAACCATATTATGACTGTTTCCTCCTGAAGTGTGTATGGGACTTCAGCACAGTGGTCTGCATCTTTGACTCACACCCTAGACTCCCGGGCTCGATCCCCCATGGTTGGGACAGAAATGGTTGAGCACACGTTTCCTTTTGCCAGATGCCTCTGTTCACTTAGTAGTAAATAGGTACCTGGGATTTAGGTATGTACATTGTTGTGGGTTGTATCCTGGGGGTTGTCAGATGGAATGCGGAGAACATCAATGCACACTATATACAAGGACCGTAGTGTATGGTCTGTATTGCATACCTCCATACTGTTAAATACTTACTGTAATACGTATACTATAAATAAAAAGAAACAGTTCAGTATGTTCAGTACGTACACACAGTAGCATAAAATTATACATCAAGTTTCCGTAGTGTTTAGTCGGCTTCCAGCACAAGCTGCCAAGAGACTAAGTAAAGCTGCAAGATTGGGAATTTTTCAGCTGATTTTTCATTCTGAGATATTGAGTGTAATTCACCATGAAGTTGGAGAAATTGTAAGTTGCAGGAGAGAACGAAGTTAGAGAACAGTAATTTGGCTGATGGTAATCCAGGAAGCAGGGGCTGGAGAAAGCAAGGGGGTTGGGGGGTTTGGAGAACCAACCTGGGAAATTGATGGCTGTGAATCTGTTAACCAAGTTTAATAACAAAAAATGGGATGTTGCATTGTGTATATGAAGGATTTACCATTAGGAATATAGAGCTATGTGAATGTTTCCTAATGATGTCAGACCACTAGGGAAGATAAGAAACTTAGGCAATTGTCATGCCCCTCAAGTTGACCTGGACAAAATATGTGTATGAAGCAACACTTGGCTGATGGAATTTAATATGAATAAATGCCACATTATGGAATGTGGAATATGAACCAGTAAGAGCAGGGGCCAGAATATGAAATAGAACCAGTGAAGAGCAGAGGTGCCATAGGCACAAATAGGGAGAACTATATAAACATCAGAGGTCCACGGTTGTTCAACATACTCCCAGCGACCATAAGAAATATTGCCGGAATAACAGTGGACATCTTCAAGAGGAAACTAGATAGTTTCCTCGAAGGAGTGCCGGACCAACCGGGCTGCGGTGGGTATATGGGCCTGTGGGCCGCAGCAAGCAACAGCTTAGTGGACTAAACTCTCACAAGTCCAGCCTGGCCTCGGTCCGGGCTTGGGGAGTAGAAGAACTACTAGAACCCCATCAACCAGGTATCAGCCAGATGAGAAAATAGGCCACACACAACATACAAATTATGTGATAAAGGTATTAAAGAATTCTGATAAAGAATGAGATCTAAGGGTGGTCCTAGATAAAAACAAACCTGTCACCTGAGCACCACATAAAGAACATGCTACAAAACCGTAACCAACCAAACCAAAATAGTGAGAATCGGTTGATAACTGGAATTTTAGAACCCACTCAAAGTTGAAACTCAGGTTTCAGAGATAATTGAAGTTGAAGTTATCAACAATGAATGAAGGTAGTTTTAATTTGTTAATTTTATTTTATGTTTTAATAAACATTGTTTGGCATTCGTACTCAAATATGTGAATATTGTAGATCAATATGTGTTGAAATAAAGTCAAGAAAAAAACCCACAAAATATAGTGATAATTATAATGATTTAGGGGATATATTTAGGGTATACTTTGTATAAGTGAAAAAGCCCTAATATGGTCCCTAATCATCAAAACAACCTAAAGAGACAAAGAAAATAGAGTTTGAAATCAGAGAAAAAATCAGCCCCAAAAATTAAAAGACCCAAGTTTTGCGAGTTGAGACTGATTTATTTGTTGACCAATTTCATTCTATCTTCACATATTTATGAAAACATATGCATTTTCCAGGATGTAAAGGTTACAACAAAAGCAAATAATAAACAAAGAAGAAAAAAAAACCTAACAAATATTTTTGGGACATTGATGAAAGTAACATATATTAACATTGGACAATGTATTTATGTGATATATAACAAAATAGATCATATTAACATAGTTATTGATTATTATTTGTATTATGTATTACTCAGCAATGATATAAAGGCACCAACTGCATACCCACTTTGTGGACACTTCTTACTACTGTTGTTCTTCTTTGAGCGTCGGACAGGTGCTTGCATCTCTGTATTACTGCATAATCCTTCAGTTCCAATTATTAGGAGCTGTTCTCCTTATCAATAAAACATTCTTATTTTTCAAAAACTCGTCTAAAATCAATTTCTGAAAATATTTTGATGAAAGTTTCATGACACTGAAGCCAATAAGTTGGAGATTTGTTTAACATTTTTAAGTTATTTTTACATAATTTGAATATTTTTCGCTAGTATGCCAGCTATATTCGTGGTAATATGCACGGTCTAGGGGTTAACTTGGTACATAGAACATTAAAATATCACAGCCTTAATGGTATTACAATAAATTTTGAAAGATGGTTTACTTGTTGGAATAGTTGCATGAATTACTGTACTGTACTTGGATATGTAATGTTTCCATGTAATACGCGGTGTTCATTAGATTAATTTTATGCTTATTTACCAGCACTCTACAGTAATATAAAAAGTTCAGTTTCATATTTTAATGCTGCATTATTTTTTTACAGTTGTTTAATGAAAATCCCCAGAAGAACCTTTTAACATCCAAAAGGAACTACCACTCAATGGATACAATAAGTTCGGCAAAAGAAAATATAATGCCAAGATCCATTGGAGGGAGTGAGATCTCATCCATGGGAGGTACCATGAATCCTATCTTGGAGGTGTCATCAGCTCAGTCATCACCAACAAAGACACCTCCAGAAAATGATTCGGAAAATGCCTTTCCTTACAAGGAATCAAGAACTACAGTAACAGTTAGCAGAAGTGCAACAGTAGCAGGCACTATGAAGGTTGGTAGTCCAGTAGCAGTCACCATGAAGGTTGGTAGTCTAGTAGCAGGCACCATGATGGTTGGTAGTCCAGTAGCAGTCACCATGATGGTTGGTAGTCCAGTAGCAGGCAACATAAAGGTCTCTATGGTATTGTATTTGCTCATGCTTATCACAAATGTACTGTTTTTACCCCATGCTCATCACAAACATACTGAAATTTTCCTGTGACTCTCACTAAAGAATTGTGTTTGGAAGCCCAATGTTAATACTGGCATTTTAAGCAAAAAATCTATAATGGATGCCATGGCACATAAAGTTTCTCTTCTTTCACTAGACCCAAGTCCTGGAGGTACACAAAGAAGGACTCAGCAAACAGAAAAAGATTCCACCAAAGAAGCCACCAAGATCACGGGCCATGTCTGTGGACAATCTTCTGTGAGTCTTATGCAAATTTCTATGCTCTGTTGCCATTATTCACTTTATTTATACTCCCATTATATTTCATTCACCTGGGTTCTAGGCTCCCATTATATGTAAGGTATTTGAGTCTTAGTATATTTTCTCTTTGGTGTAGTGTTGATTGATGCCAGTTCTATATGGTGAAATATTAGGTTGGACTCGTTTGGTAGAAAATGTGTAAGTGCAGGTCAGTGAGTAAGTAAATGCATTAGTAAGTAAATGGGGCCTCGTAGCCTGGTGGATAGCGCGCAGGACTCGTAATTCTGTGGCGCGGGTTCGATTCCCGCACGAGGCAGAAACAAATGGGCAAAGTTTCTTTCACTCTGAATGCCCCTGTTACCTAGCAGTAAATAGGTACCTGGGTGTTAGTCAGCTGTCACGGGCTGCTTCCTGGGGGTGGAGGCTTGGTCGAGGACCGGGCTGCGGGGACACTAAAGCCCCGAAATCATCTCAAGATTATCTACAAATTTACAAACTGTTTCTGCTGCATCATATATTGTTGTTAAAGACACACACTAAACTTCAGTCTGAGTGGAATCAGCTAGATGGCTTACTGTATGTGTATTGCCTGCTCTTATGTCTACGTCAGCAAGGTTGTGTGTCTGGCCAAGATGCTCAAAACGATCCTTTGTTATTCTGTTGTTGATACTTTGCTGCATTTTCACCTCTCATTGGTTGGCCCAAGCAGGGCCTAACAATTCTCTCAATTGCTCTCAAAAGCTGAAAACATCAAAAGATAGTTAAATAGATATACTGTATAGGTAATTGACAATGCTATTTACCCCAAGAAGTTAGTCACTTGTACCTCTGTATCAACTAGATCAAATCTTTGGAGCAGGACAGCAGGATCAAACCAACATCCTGGATCACCACAGACACCAGTAGACCACAATTCTCACAAGTCAAGCCTGGCCTCGGGCGGAGCTCGGGGAGTAGAAGAACTCCCAGAACCCCCATCAAGCAAGGTATCAAGCTGGTAATATGCTAAAGGTTACACAGCCTGAAGTCTTCTCAGATCCACTAGGAATGTGGAGGTATTGAGCCGTTAGCCAATCCATGGTTTATGTGTACTGTGGTCTGTTGGTAAGGTGCGTGTCTGAGGGTGATCCAGAATTTTAGTTTGATCCTGTAGTCCAAGTCCAAAGATTTTCTTTTGAATATATCACAATTTTGTGATTTCATTTTGCCTGTAACTACTTTTTATATGATACAAGAATTTATTCTTTTGTTGTCTTAATCTTGAAATTTTTTACCACATGATCATTCAAGGAGAACATCTGCTTCATTAAAGTGCTGTGAGTAGTATATTTTTAGAGTTCGTAAGACAAAAATAATCACGGAATAATACTGTAGACTACAGTATGAAGTATTATAGCAAAATTCACAGAATTTTGGTCAGATTTTTCATGTAAAGTTAATGTTTCAATAAGAACTGGAAAGAGATGAAAATGTTTCAATGTTTATATGCCTTATAATTTTATTGTATATTGGATTATTTTCAATGTTCACTGTGGCAGGCTCTTCACCTGTATGTCTGCTGAAATGTCAAGTAGTTGTCATCAACTTCTTGATGATAACTTCATGACAACTGAGTCATGATGTCATCACGGCTCCTATTGCTGTTGCATAGTTCATATGATTGCTTAGAGCTTATTGAACTGAAATATTGAAATTACAGTTATTGCCAGTCTTGTAGTGTCTTTATTCTCACTCAACAGTTATTTTCTCTCTTTCAGCAATACAGAGACAGAATTAAGACAGAACTTCTGTGAATTTGTTCCAAAGAAGAGACGTATGGTAGTACGCACCCCTTCGCGCCTCTATCATTTTGCAGAGAGCAGTGCAAGCTGCATAGTGGGACACGTTAATACAAAAGTAATACCACCAATCCTTGGGCCAGAATTTGTTGTGAGAAGCAAAGAACCAGCTAAAGTTCTGAATTTATTGCAAGATACACAGGTAATTCTGAGGTGACTTTTTTTAGATAAATGACTAAAATTCAATATCTTACATTTACATCTTGTACTGGAGGAGGCATACTGGTATTTAGCATTCCTAGTTTATTAAGTGCATTCAGTCTAGCTAGCTAAGCAGAGGAGATTTGTACTATTAGCATTTAGTCTCCTGTTAAGTAATAAACATCAGATTTTGGTTCCTGCTATTACTTTAGACCTTTATCTACTCTGCTACTTAGCTAGTTTTCACTAAGATTCTTATTTACTAATACACAGTAATTCTTTTGGCTATCAGCGAGGCACGGTGAAGAAAGTGACAGTGATCCTGGTGACTGGCAGGAAGCTGGAGCTGACCTGCGACCCGGCTGTTGCCCGGGTCAGCCACATTCTCCAGGTTAGTGGTGCTTTATGAGATCACACTCAACACACTGCAGTTGTTATTTAGCTAAAATGAGGTAATACAAAAAAAAAATTGGTGCAGCTGCTGAATAGTATTGAGAGTAATGAAATGCCCCTCTCTGGCCAGCCTCTTGGTATGCTGTATTCCTATTATGCTGTGCAATGCTGTTCAAATCATTTACAAATGAGCATCAGCTAACTGTGCATAATGTGAAGACTTCAGTGTCTTCATATTGTAGTTGCTAGTGTATGCTTCTTCTCTCTTACTAGTCAACCTGTCCTCTAAGACGTTACATCACATTTTGATGTCAAAATTCCCAATGAACAAAAATACAATGTCCCATAAATCATAGCAGCTCACAAACATTCACGTTTTCTATGCTTGTGTTGCTCGGTCAGGTTAGGTTTGTGTGTTTTAGTAAACCATTTTCTATCCATTGTGGCAACTTGAGAGGACAGGCTGAGCTAGCAGTCATATCTTGCATGTATTGCTCTTTCCTTTTCTATAGATCAGCATTTGTCTCGATGCCAAATTTTCTCACAATACTCCCAGTGTGACTAACCTCACAAAATTGATACATTAATTTGATTCCTCTTACCACCTTCAGATTGATTGCTGCTCATCATAGATATCATTGTATTAGCTAAAAATTTGCAGTTTGTAATAAAGAAATATTGTTAGTAAAGGATATTCTTCAGATGGAGCGTGTCAGCTTAACACTTTCGTACTCTTCTAACGCCCCTGGCGTCTGATTTTTTCTCCTGAGTCCGAGTTGGTGATGCCAGTGGCGTCCGATTGTTAAAATATTTGTTAAAAATTTAAATTTTATCCGATCAATCTGGGAGTGGGTTTAAAATAATCGCCTTTAAAGTGTGCACAATTTGATACCCAAATGAAAGATGTAACATGCAAATTGATGTCAGAACACTGGAAAGATTATACGTACATACATTTTGCGTCCAAAATTTAAAATATTTGTTAAAATTCCATTTATTGTGCTATTATTATGGGACTAGTTTTAAAATGTGCGCCTTTAGATTGTGAACAATTTGATACCAAAATGAAAGATGTAACACAAAAATTGATGTCAGAACACTGGAAAGATATAAATAATTTTGTGATGATGTGCATCCAAAATTTAAAATATTTGATAAAATTCCATTTATTGTTCTATTATTATGGGACTAGTTTTAAAATACACACTTTTATATTGCGAACAATTTGATATCAAAACGAGTGACATAACATGAAATTTGATGTTATCAAACTAAACGAGTATACACATTAGGTTGCAGGTGTTCCAATTGGTGCTCGTTCATGGGTAACTTTAGGCTTTGCTAAGGGGAGTCATGCCAGGCTTTTGGACAATATATGCATATACTGTACACCTGCAGGAAATTTAATTGTGAACACAATGATACCAAAACGAATGACGTAGCACAAAAATTAAGGTGAGAAAACTTAAACGAATACAGTATACACATTTTACTGATTTTGTGTGCTCACGGGTAACCAATTTAGGCTTTGCTGTGGGGAGTTACGCTGGGCTTTTGGACATTATATGCATATACACCTGTAGGGAATTCTATTGCGAACACAGTGATACCAAAATGAACGCTGTAGCACGAGAATTAAGGTGAGAAAACTGAAACGACTATACAGTACACATCTCGGTGTCGCTGCACGCTCGACCGCACCGCCAGGAGTAGTTTGTGCATACAAACTGAGCGCACGCCCTAGGCGGGAGAGTATTAATGTATCACATGAGAGGGCAGTACACAAAGTTGGGGTCGGTTTAAGGTTTAGCAGGCCCTCATTATGTAAGCCGTCAGAAGAAGAAACCCACTTATTTTTTGCCTGGAAATTCAGGCTTTCCTAACAATTGGTAATTGTTTCTTATAATATTTGATTCATTTGGTGGCCAAAATGTGTCTTTTGATCCAAATAGGCCACTGGCTCAAGAAAAGAGCCAAGGGACCTTGGCTCTGAAATATTAATTACACTGCACTACCGTCTCGCCATGAGTTGTAGTTGGATGGATTTAGCTCCATTGGCAAATGTAGGTGGAGCTCAGAAAATGCATTACAATATGGAATATGTAAAAAAAACAACTGTAGTGTTTGGCTTATGTTTTAGTATTGTCCATTTCCTTTATTTTCAGGCTGTGTTCCAAGAAGAAAAGTTACCACTACAACACCTGCTGGGTCTAGCTGTGTTGGGCAGCGGCGAGTTTCACTTTGTGGCGCCGCAAACCAAACTGCATAAAGTAAACATGAATTTTGTTGCAAATTTCTTTGTTTATTCTTAATATAAAAGAAAAGTTTGATTACAAATATATTATGTTAGTAAAGATTTTTTAGTACTGACACTCAGTTGATGAAAATTGTGAAGTAAGTTTAGTGTGATGTAAATAAACACTGCCTCACATGGGCCAGTAGGCCTTCTGTAATTCCATATATTCTTATGTTCTGAAGTAATTTACATACTGGTGCAGAACTTACATTTCTTATATGAGAATGAATAATTGTACTTCTGAGTGCTGCCATTAGATTGCTTCTTAAGACAGGGAAAAGGATGAAATTTGCAAGAAAAGAATTGAATTGACATGTGCTTGTTTAGTGAAGTATGCTAATATTAATATGTATGTGACACGAAAAAGTGATAAGAATATCTAGAGGGGATTGTCTGATCACGTATTGGTTTTGTATAAGATATGTGGTAAAAGGGTAACCCATACCTCAGAAAGAATAAGTAAGATGAAGAAATGTAAGTTGAAAAGTTGAGTGAGAAAGAACTGGTGGTTGATTACAAAGGAAGAGTTGATAGTAATCTTGAAGCAAGAGACTGTGACACATGAACCTTGGCGACATGTGGGATGAGTATGGCAAATATTTGTTTAATAATTCCAAGCAAGTGTGTGTGGAGTTGCACAAAGTATTAGAGGCACAAGAGGACTTGCTTGGAGAGAAGAGGTGACAAAAGCTGTAGATAAGAAAAAAGAACAAGTTTTAAGAATACAAAGTGAACGAGAGCTAAAGGCAACATAATGAGCACATGCTGTGAGTGACAAATATGGGAAAAGATTAGTTAAGCAGGAAAAAATAAAAAAGAGCAAATGAGAATATAGAGAGAAAAATAACACTGGAAGAAGGTTACTAAGGTGCACACACAATGATTTTTAAAGGCACAAATATGCAGTTACTTTTAGAGTTGATATCAAAGATTCTCCATTTCTATTATCTTCGTGATGTTACTATTAATTTTCCAAGGATCCTGTTATATGTTCTGAATTTCTCATGCTGGGGATTCCCTCAAACATAATGACAATTAATGCTTTTAAGGATTATGAGATAGCAATCAATCTCTGAATATTGGAGTTGGCATGTGAGATGCATAAAGGCATATTATCGTAAGTGTTATATGTCTTCTTCATTATGTTGATGCTGCACTTGGTGGATGTTGCAGGTTTCTCCCCCGGGATGGAAGGAGCGGCAACCCACGAAAGACGGTCTTATTCAGAACAATTTTACACTACACTTGAGGTTCATATACTATGTTAGGTAAGTGTAGCATTTTCTTCAAATTTCTTCCCTTACACTCAATTTGTTCTTGTAGCTCAACATCCTTTGTTTTTGTTTTGATCTCTCATTTATTGGGTCTGTTTTAAGAGTATCGGGGCAATAATTGAATAACCTGGAGATCTTAACTATACCAGATCAGCCTATCCTCTCGGGTGTTTACAACTTCACTAAAGGAAACTAAATGGCCCAAACGTTACCTAATTGAGGACCCTCAAAAAGAAAATGGGACATCACGTCAATTATGCGAGCCGCTATGATATTTAGTATGTCTTGCTTTGACACTGGTGATTTTTATGTCAAAATAAAATGTTTATGTGAGAGGACAGGTTGACCAGTTGGATATTTTTAACATATGAATACATGGGGATTAGATCATCAGATCACTGCATGCTCATCAGCTCACCAAAGGAGCCGTCACTCCTTTCACCCACTGTATTCCTGCTTTAGCGCAAACAATTGGTGGCAATTTCTTTACATTATAAATTCTGTGTCCATTAGAGCTTTCTAAGGGTCTTTATCTTCAATGTTTGCTTACATGAAATAAAAACAGACTTTGTTAACAGATTTTTGGATGAGAATATGAATAAATAGTGTAAATTCTAAATATCCCAACCACTTGGGCTGGACGGTAGAGCGACGGTCTCGCTTCATGCAGGTCGGCGTTCAATCCCCGACCGTCCAAGTGGTTGGGCACTATTCCTTCCCTCCCCTGTCCCATTACAAATCCTTATCCTGATCCCTTCCTAGTGCTATATAGTCATAATGGCTTGGCACTTTCTCCTGATAATTCCATTCCATTCCATTCCATTAGACACCCAACTCACAAATCTGGAAATAAAGGAAGTGATGCTGTTTTGGTACATCGAGGATGACTTGATAATGGTCGAGGGAGAACTGAAATGTCATGAATTCCTTTACGTTCTGATTTGTGGGTTGGATGTCTAATTCTCAGCTCATATTTTTGTAGCTGTCTACATGTCAATTTTTCTTTTTCCTAAATCAGATTCAATAATGTGGATGAAATGGAAAGCATGGCCAGGCAGCTGCTGTATCTGCAACTAAGACACGATGTGTTGGAAGGTCGTCTTCCAGTCCCACCAGATGCTTTGCTTCATCTGGCAACCCTTGCTCTTCAAGCAGAGTTTGGCGATAAAAAAGAACAGGTGAGTGCTGTATTCTGAAAGAGGAAAAGATATTTTCAAACTCTTGCTCACATGGACAGATTTGTACTGGATCCTTCCAGTGCAAAACAACCTCATTGCATCCAAGCTCTGCTGTTTATTCCTATTTGTTCAGTACTTCTCTAAAAATGTTAAAGGGGTATTTTTTATTACATGTGACAGAAAATATCCTTGCAAATTTTTATACACACACAAATAATATATCAACTATGTATTTTGTTTATGAAAATAATAAGAATATGATCAATATGCTATTTTTTATTTCCTTTTGTAATCCAATGCTTTCTAAGCCAGAGCTTATATGGTCCACCTAGAACTTGTATTGCCTGCTAGGGGTCACATTACCCTTGTCCACCACAATAACAAGCAAGTTATATTTACCTGAGGGCCACTAACCCTAGTGGCCTCGATGAGGACAGGTAGCCGGCAGCTTGTTTATATAATTGTCTTATCACATAATTAGGGAAGAGAGACTGTGGTGAATCTAACTGAAGCCATCACAAAAGTTACAAGCTAATAATAACACAGTAGGGAGAGTAGGGTCCTGTAACACAGTGGTCTAAGTCCTTGGCTCACAATCAAGGGGACCCCAGGTTTAATTCCTGGGCAGGACAGAAGCATTAGTCATATTTCCTTTCTCCTGATGCCTCTTCACCTAGCAATAGGTACCAATGGAGCTAGGCAATTATTGTGAGTTGCATCCTGTTGATGGTCCGTCATTGGCCTAGGGGGGACCTTGATAAGCCTGAGTAAAAGCTTCTTATTATCAGCAGTGGGAATTAAAATGCTCAGCACACCACACAGTCGATAATTAGAAATGCAAGGAAAACTATGTATTATTCTGATAACCAGTTGTTAGTAATTAATGGATATCCTGACTGCCACCACATGATAGCATCTGTCACCACAATGGATGGTGTAACTGGCAGCCCTCACTTTGTGCCCTGGCACTGTGATGACTAATCAATTAAGTGTTTCCTTCTTGGTTTATCCTAAAGATTGTTGTCTTTATACAGGAGTTCTATGCTTAAGGGTTTGTTTAAATTCCTGGTGTACCAGTTGTGTGAGCCACTGACACTCTCTGCTATGGCTGTGTTCCGGTGTTGTCTGTTCCACCCCCCCTCCTTTCCTTGCATTGTTATTGTTGTTGATGAAGACCCTCAGCTCCAGGTAGATCTTTTCTGAAGTTGTGTGCCATAGCTATCAGCATGGCTCAGCTCTTAAGATGCTTTGGAACTTTGTTGCAGGTCTGAACCATGCAGGCTACCCCCCCCCCCAACCCCTTATAATTTTTTATGTACAGTATATACAAAGTATATTCCTTCTAGGTTTGAAAAAAAAGTATATACATATATATACTTTATGTATGTGTACTTTATATACAGAATTGTAGGCAATACTGTATTTCAGAAAGATGCTGCACATTGTCACTTGACTCATAGTCTGTGGCTATTTATGAATTAGGTTTTCCCGGACGGGTGGATTGTAAAAGATGGGCAAATTTGTTGGCTTGCTCACTGGATTTGTCCCCCACTGGTCATCAAAATCTCGCTCCTTAGTCAATCTTTGTACTAGAATAATGTGATTAATGACATAACTGTCATTTGTGGAACTTCAGAATAATATTGTGCTATGTATCTATAGCAATAGTGGATGTGTTGAGATTTAATCTTGAGATTAAAATACTTAATACTTGAATACTTTGCCTTACCGAAACATTTTACAGATTGCTTTTAATTTCTTATAAAATAGCAGTAATTAAAATGTAGGCAATTATTGAAGATAGTTTGTAATAGTGCAGGTCATATCTTAAGGAGATGATTAAATTACCTAGTGACTGATTTCCATAAGGTGGGAAAGCATTTGTCTGGAGAAGGTGGACAAATATTGTTGGAAAGGTGGATAATAGTAAAAGGAATGACAAACTGATATTAAAATAATAACCCTTAAACAGTTTAACTAATTAACTCCTACATTGTGGTGCTCATGACAAACAAAAGAAGACTAATGTAAAAAAATTCTTTTGGTGATTCAAGCACAGGATTTAATCACAGATAATTGTTAATCATTTAAGAGTTACTAGATGAGAAGTTCTTAAACAGATACATTTTACATGTAACTGTTGTCATGGCAGAATATAATAGGCAATAAAGTATGTTTAAGTGTTGCTTTATCAGCATAATGGCACTGTAGTACTGAAGTGATTGTGTAAGTTAATGCTATATGTTCTAGGTTATTAAAAATGATTATCATTTCTTGCATTTTTACTTGTTGAAGATTTCTAGTTTTCAAGATATGTACTTGTGAAAATTCATCCTCTGCTAGTCGACTTTAATGGCAAAAACAGTATTTATATTAAGGATCATGAAGAGTAATTGATGAAATTTGATTTCTTTTTACTTAGGATGTGAGCTACTTTCTTGCTGAACATTATGTCCCCGAGTCACTACTTCGTGGAGGGCAGGTGATGGCGGTGTCACAACAGCTGCACCAGAGCCACGCAGCTCTAGCTGGTCTCCACTACACACAAGCTCAGGTTCGCTTCATCACTTCCCTGCAGGACACGCAACACTACGGCACGCACTACTACCATGTCACACAGGTAACTAATGAAATTACGGAGAACAAGTCATGGTAACACGGCTGAAACAAATAACTTGACCCACACACATATGAAATACAACGAGTGACAACATTTCAGTCTATCCTGGACATTTATTAAGCTGTGACACAAATGAATTTGTCACAATAATATTGCACTTGCTTTGTATTGCCTGTAATTTCATCCATCTATAAGATCTTGATGCTGAGGTTCCTCTGGGAACTTCCCTTCAAAGTGGCAGGTGGCCTTTGGGGTATCTTACTCAGACACTGTGACTACTATCACATATTAAGATGCTCTAGGGGAAACTTAGTTATTTGTTAAACTTTTCACACATTCTGGTTTCGGAAGTAGTGTTCACCCAATTCAAGGTTTAAGAAGCTCTCCCAATTCTAGTTGCTGATTTTTGCTGTCAAGTGAGCATAACAATACCATACCTGCTAATACAGTCTTCAACATTGTTGTGCACTAGTTGGTGCAGTTCTTAACCTTTTCCTGTAGTTATGTATCTGAATGCAGGCAAGTTGGAAGGCAGTTGCCTTGTTTCCTTTATGATAACCAAACCAGTCAGCATGAAGGATTTTAGAGCAGACCTGTTTTTAATAGTAACTTGGCTCCAAGATATTTTATTAAGATCTTGAATAAAAATAGTCTAAATGTTTTAGATATATTTTAAGTGAGGCTACCAATTTGAAGGTTCAATAGATGTAGAGAGGGAAGGTTATTGATGATAGATAGTTAAGGAGGCTGGTAGTGTTACCTCTCCGCACGTTCCCGACTGTGAACTTTCTGCGCTGTCTGGGCCACTTACTGTCCGCTCTGTGATGTGACAAATGTTTCAAATCATTTTATGTTTTCTAAGTTATTTATATGGTTACAACTATAAATTTGGTGTCAAAATGTTTGCAAATGGATTCAATAGAGAATAGCTGCATAAACAAAAGTGTATTTATAATAGATTATGTATGGCAGTGGTGAAAATCCAAATGTTTTTCAATGGCAGTCGGATGACACATTTTAGTGTCGTCGTAATGTGAAAGGATTGAACAATATTGGTTATTGCAACTTTGCAGCTTATGTGTGGCTTTGGAAAAAAATTCTGTGCCTTTAATCAGTTTGCATGTGTCTACTCTTATATTATTTTGTAATCTGGACATGTTTTTTATTTCTTTCTTTCCTTATGTACTAATTAAGTGTGTGCTTGTAGCTACATGTTTGTGTGTGAATACTTTCTTTCCTTTTGTACTAATTAAGTGTGTGTACTTGTTACTACATGATTGAGTGGATTCTTTCTTTCCTTATGGACTGATTAAGTGTGTGCTTGTAACTACATGTTTGTGTGTGGATTTGATACAACAATTTCCCATCAGGACAAAGGGCGTCAGCAGTGTTGGTTGGGCATCGGGCGTGAGGGCATCCTAGTACTTGGCAGTGGACCTCTCACTTCCGAGGCTGTTGCTCGAGCTACCTTCCACTCTTGGCCCTCGGTCAAGAGGGTATCGTATACCACGCATAGGCTAACCATTGCTATACGTGGATCAGACAAATCAACAAAAATAAAGTTGAATTTACAAGAAAACAGGTGAGTTTGTATTAAGTTAGATTTTGTTTGATAAAGGAATGTTTCGAGAGTTAGGCAAGCTGAGACAGGTTCTGAGTAAGTACGGTACATACTCTCAGTGAAAAGTAATTACAGGGGGGGACCTCAAAAGAGTAAAAACCATACAAGTCTCACAGGATTTTACTATTACAACATTTGTTCAAAATCTTGAAAAAAAAGTACTACTTTTTTCCCAATTTTTAAATCATTTTGAACATGTGGGAAAAATGTGGACTGCCTAGGCATAGTTAATACTCACCGACCATACTGAAATATTTCTGCTCTTTTTGCTTTTTCTGGTAAATATTGCTTAACAAATTTAGATTTTTATAAATTATTTGCAATATTGAACTTAAACTGTATAAAAATAATGTTCTTAGTTATGTTCTTGATGAAATTTAAAGCATACTTAATCTTGAAGCATCTTTTTTATAAGATAGTGGCAACTTTTGTCTTACTATTTTGTTTTTGGGTGGATTTTTTTGTTAAATAATGGTTGGATTGGTATGCATTTCAAGATATGAGTGTGCACTCACTCACTCACTCACTCACTCACTCACTCACTCACTCACTCACTCACTCACTCACTCACTCACTCACTCACTCACTCACTCACTCACTCACTCACTCACTCACTCACTCACTCTCTCTCTCTCTCTCTCTCTCTCTCTCTCTCTCTCTCTCTCTCTCTCTCTCTCTCTCTCTCTCTCTCTCTCTCTCTCTCTCTCTCTCTCTCTCTCTCTCTCTCTCTCTCTCTCTCTCATTGCCCTTTCCTTGCCTCCCTCACACAGTACAACCCTTCACTCCAAACAAAGTAAGAACTGCTTCCTGTCTCCCTCTCCCCCCATACTCTCCCTCCCAGGTAATCCTCTACATGACATAAGCACTGGAGTTGGGAGGAGGTGGAGAGCTGAGGGGAGAGAGTGGTGTATTAGTGTCCACTGTGTGTTGTGTGAGTGAGGGGCTTCTTGCGACTCCGTTGTGGTTATTACATATACCTGGGGGGGGGGGGAGGGGGGGGTTGTTCCTGGGTTATGTTCAAATATTCTATGTATGTCAGAGTAGGATTATGTAGGATTATATATATATAAAATATAGGCAGTAAAGGATAATTATTGTGAATACAGTGTAAGAGGAGTGCATAATTTGAGTACTGTATTGTGTTCTGGCAGGAGTCGTTATGTCTTCTACCTGACTACAGTTCACCAGGGTTTCCACCGTGATGCTGCCACCCTAAACCAGCTATCATTGTCAGCAGGAGGGTCTGGTTTGCCAGTGGAACTGGTTTCTTCCCAGCAGGACTTTCACTCACAAGCCACCAGCAGTGCCTCTTCAGCCACCACTACTGCTCGGACTAGCCTGTCCTCGGCCGGTACTGCCGACGATGTTTCATACGGGGGTCACTTGACCGAGACACCTGGGTCTTTAGGAAATATCCAGGGGGCAGAAGATGAACACAAAGATGTTCCAAATACCTTTGCAGGTTTTGGGAGAGAGAAAAACAGTGAAGCAACATCCTTGTGGCCAATAGTGTTGGGAGGACAAAAGTCATCAAATAGTTTATCCAGAGACAATTTCTTGTCAGAAATCCTATGGCGAAGTGGTGGAGAAGAGACTGATGAGGTCTTTTCCATTGAAAACTTGGAGAATGAACAACAATTTCATCGACAAGAAGAAAATACTGAAGCAAGTGCAGTGAAAACTTTAGTTCCAAGAGTGTTCCATCAGCGGTCTAAGAGTAATATAGAGAGCAGCAGCACGGAAGGGTCAGGGGGCATCAGACCAGAGCTCACCCGGGAGTTTGTTAGTGACGAATCACTCCTTGCTTCGCCCAAGAAGGTCAGTGTTCTTTACATCATCACCACATTGTCACTACTATACTCTAACCACCACATAATTGCTGGCTGTAAAGGCAACTAATCTAAATACCCTAGAATCATTCATCCTCAAACCAGAGATCAGATAGTGTTAGGGCTGTGTCTGTGGTACCAGAGCCAATGTTCTGGAAAAAAAATTGTAAGCCTAGAAGTTGTTTTTAGCTATTTTTTTCCCAGGTACTCCTATTTGAGGTTCATACAAATTATGACCCACAAAGTAAAAGAAGAATTACCTTGTGGATTTGAGATGGTTAGATTGCTTTGCTGTCTCTAACAGACCTGTCCTTCAGCAATTCTCATGTTATCCTTGGAGGCGGTACAGAAACTTCACTTTACAGACTTATTTGTTTCCTTGCATCTGTTTTGCTTTATGCATTTTCATGTTAGGGGGAAGAGGGGGAGGCAGTTTTTCTTCCCCGTGGCCTACCATGTTAGCATCAGTGTTCCTTGTGTGTGTGTGTGTGTGTTTGTGACACACACACGAGGAACTGACACTCTTACTCTCACTCCCATCTCATCATCCTCTCTTTTCTCCCAACTCTATGGACCTCAAATTAGCTGGCATTGCAGGGCCATGCTGTGAGGATGGGGACCCGAGTGTCTGCGGCGGCACTACAAAAGCGTCGCCTGCGAAGTGCGGAGGCTCTTCAGCAGCAGCAACAGCAGCATCAACAGCAGTTCCACCATCTCCATCTCCAACATCTGCCAAGCCTGCATGAGCTCAACACCAGCTCTGCAGCTGTGGTTGTTGGTGAGTATGAGTACGAGTGATGATTGGTGAATAATTTTTGGTGCCTGTAAATATTGTTTTATGCATCTCCTGAATACCTTCATTCCTTAGTATTGCTTACTTTAGCAAAATAACATCTCAGTTATATTTGGGACTGTTCTGAACAACACAAATCAACTGCAAAAGGGATTAAAGTCATTACACACAGAGATCACACTAACGTGATGCATCAAATGAAGAAATCCACAAGGACCGTGACGAGGATTCGAACCTGTGTTCGGGAGCATCCCAGACACTGCCTTAATCGACTGAGCTATGACTAGCGTAGTAAGGTAGTGAGTGATGCTTTTCACTCTTTTAACCCTGTCGTAGCTCAGTCGATTAAGGCAGTGTCTGGGATGCTCCCAGACCCAGGTTCGAATCCTCGTCACGGCCCTTGTGGATTTGTTCTGTTGATTAAAGTCCTCACAAAAGTCTTTGTCTTTTTGTACCTGTTAAGCAAGACAACAATAACTATTAAATATACTTTCTTGAGAGATAGGAGAGAAAATTGTGTTCTTTCAGCATTGATATTAATTATTGCAGAATGCAGGACATGGGGGGGTGAGGATCTGTTAGAGTATAACAGTTTGCAAGCCTTTATAGGGCAGGATTATATAACAGAATGCATGGTAGAAGAGGGGTGGGGGGGGGTAAGGGAGGGGGAAGGGTTTATGAGTATCGGAACAGTGTCGGGGCTTCACTTACGTTGGGTGACTCATAACCCCATATGCTCTGCCCCCCTGCTCGTACACTCTCTTTCTTACACTCTTCTTTCGTACACTTTCGTACACTCTTTCACTCTTTCTCTTACATTTTTCTCTTCATTATATTTCTCCCTCCAGAAACAGATATACAGGTACTGTACTTATGACATTCCACTCAAAAGTGTATCAGCTTCTGTAGTTACATATACTGTACTTTAGTAGAGAAATTTATGTTTTTCTTATGTTGATTGTTGGTAATTACTTTGACTAAAGATCATGTACTGCATAAAAATGTTGGCCACTTATGTACAGGATTTACAATAATGTTTGTGATGTTAATTTGAAAGTAGCATCACTGGTTTGAGGTCTCTACTCTGTGTAGATTTGAAGAAAGCTATTTGGAGAAATTAATGCCATATAATATAGAGTCTTTTGGTTTGTGTATGTGCATGTATATGTTTGACACTCTACCTTCACTGAGTTGCATTGAGTGTTTTTTTGCACAAATTTATCAAAGTATTTGAACAGTTGTTGAAATACCCAAGAAAAAGAGAAATTCAAGCTGTCTTCGGAAAAAATGGAGCTTTGTTTTTTACATTTTTGGTACAATATGGAATTTTGAAAATGTATACGATCATGGAACAATGATCGTATACATTCAGATAGACAGTTTCGGGACCAAAGAGCCGGAGCTCAACCCCCGCAAGCACAACTAGGTGAGTACTTGTGTATGGATGATGCTCTCTGGATGTGTCTTGCCCTATGCTATTGTTTCTATGCCAGGCTTTTGTTGCATCGACAACTTTTCTTCCCCGACTCCACTAACAGCCTCTCCGAAGCTGATACCTGCCTCCTTGATCACTCACACATCTTGGGTAATTTAAACTGGTCAATCATTACCTCATTTGCTCTGATGACAGTTGCAGATTTTTTCTCTCTCATCATCATCATTAAATTTACCATAGTTCAGTGTATGATAATTAGGCTTTTGTGCATGTGGCATAGCATCAGTGTCAGATAAATTGGCTTTTGTGCATGTGGCATAGGATCAGTGTCAGATAAATTGGCTTTTGTTCATGTGGTATAGCATCAGTGTTAGATAAATTGGCTGCAATGTACAAAAAATGTCTTTAGTGCAAATATCTTGAGGTCGTGATAACTGGCGTCATTGCATTAAAAAGGACTTCATTGACGCAAAAAATGCCTTTAATGCACGATAAATTGATTCAGTGTTTGAGACAATTGCTTCAAACATCTGGTACAATTGCTTCAGTTGTCTCAATGTGTGAAACATTGGCTTCACTATCCCCGATAACGGGAATTATAATATTATAATTACTAATGAATTAGCCCCAACATCGAAACTCGGCGATCTTGATATGGCAAGAACGCAGGTGTAAATCAGCTGGTATTTGTTTACGCGTTGCCATGGCAACCACACATGGCGGGCCTGGCGTAGTAAGGTAGTGAGTGGTGCTTGTCACTCACCATGGCGCCTCACCACCTCATTAACACCTCACAACACAACAAACTACCTGCGGGGAAGCACCCACGATTATTGCACTGTGTTAACAAATGAATTGGCGTGACGGGCGCTGAGCGCGGGTTCGAAGTTGGGAAATATTTGGTGGTGTAAAAGAGGCTGCTGTGAAACGCGATCATGTGGGCTAGGTGAGTATATATATATACAGTATATATATATATATATATAAATGTTTACCGGGGCTTCGAACCCGGGCCCATGTGTTACGTATGTCGAGTGTGTGTTCTTTGTCGTTGAATGAGGTATGTGGACACAATATGTGAACAGTTTTCTGTTCATATAAATGGGTGTGGCTGACCCGGGTGTAGATTTCGAGTTTTCGTGATAATAAAGGCCATGGAAGAAGCATGTGGTGGTTGATATTGGCAAGATGAGTGGGCAGCACAAGGGTGGGCACCGCGGGGTGGGTTGGTGGAGGGTGGGCAGGTGGGTATAAGGGGGTGGGGGGCACACGACTGGGTGGAAGGTCTACCGCCCATCCTCTCTAACCCCTGGAGTGGATAGAGGATGGTGGGCCTCAGGGAGTGTATGGATTGGCATACGGTTTCGTATTTGGGGAATATGGTGGGTTATTGTAATAACAATAATAATATCTTTAAATTACTTATGTTCTCGTTCGTCCTGCATGGATATTGACTCGATCCTTTAACCCCATTTCTCCCTGTCACAGCGCCGCCTGGGAATAAAATATTATTGTATACATTGCCACATTAAAAAATTTATAATTCTTTGTATTTGCTACTTATTTTTTATTTGAAAATTTTATACGAGAGGGTATGTGTTCACCTAGTTGTGCTTGCGGGGTTGAGCTCTGGCTCTTTGGTCCCGCCTCTCAACTGTCAATTAACTGGTGGACAGATTCCTGAGCCTACTGGGCTCTATCATATCTACATTTGAAACTGTGTACGGAGTCAGCCTCCACCACATCACTGCCTAATGCCTACTACTGCTCACAGGATGGGTATGGGGTCCACTACCACCCACAGGATGGGTATAGGGTCCACTACCGCCCACAGGATGGGTATGGGGTCCACTACCACCCACAGGATGGGTATGGGGTCAACTACCACCCACATAATGGGTATGGGGTCCACTACCACCCACAGGATGGGTATGGGGTCCACTACCACCCACAGGATGGGTATGGGGTCCACTACCACCCACAGGATGGGTATGGGGTCCACTACCACCCACAGGATGGGTATGGGGTCCACTACCACCCACAGGATGGGTATGGGGGTACATTGTAAACTAATTTTATAACTCCTCTCCTCTCAACTACTACCCTTTCCACTTTCCTGCCGCCTCTTCCATCCCCTTCTCCCCCCCCTCCCTCTCCGTCACAGTCTAAACCTCCCCCCCTCCCTCCTTCCCCCTCCTCTCCCTCTCCTCCCCCTCTCCTCCCCCTTTCCTCCCCCTTTCCTCCCCCTCCCCCCCCACCTCCTGTGAACACACAGACAGCACATGTGGTCGGGGTGGCGGTGTGGGCGCCCCAGTTCTGCTCTCTCCGGCACACCAAGGGGCTGGCTGCCATAGTCAGCTGCGTCCCCTGTGGCACCCCCTGTGGCACCCCCTGTGGCACCCCCCCGTGACCCCGTGTGACCCCTCCTTGGGGCCCAGCTTCGCTAAAGCTTCCTCGTTATTAGTGATGTGATGTGTTGAAACCTATAGTGAGTACGGTGACGAGACGGTGACTACTGTGTGTGCTTGTTGTGGCTCAGTGACTGTGTTATTGGTGCCCCATAACCCCTCCATCCCTCCCCCATTCCCCCCTTCCTCCATCCCTCCCTCCCTCCCTTCCACAACCCTCCTGTGTATCTGTGACGTCATTGATGTTATCATGCACGCCAAATTAAATGACGTCATTGATGATATTGAGCCCTGATAATGTAATTTTTTCGGTTGGGTAATGGTGGAGGGGGGGGGCGGGAAGGTTATTGTCCTCTGGTGTCTTCTTATTGTTCTTGTTCAAATGGTTCGTTCGCCTCCAGTGTGTATGTGCAGGGACGCGGGTTCGATCCCATTGTATAACCTTAATATTTTCTCACTGTTGAGTTGTCTCTTGCTTTGTCAACTCTACTGTTGTTGTTGTTGTTGTGGATAAAACTGGGTCGAATGTTTGCCGTGAAGTCGACTCAGTTGATTGTTCCAAGAGGTGGACGCAGTTGATAGCAGACATAAAGGAAACTGAACATCGAAGCGCATGATTCAGTTTGGGGTTAAATCATGCGTAAATTGGTCCTGTGGCACAGTGGTCTTCGTCCTCGGTTCGCAATCGAGGAGGGACCCAAGTTCAAATCACCCGGGCAAGACGGAAATGTTTAGGCCACGTTTCTATTCAGCCTGGAGTTGGGGCAACTCTTGTGGGTTGCTTCCTGGGGGGAAGGACACTGTAGTTGGCCTAGAGGAACATCGGAAAGCCTATATGTATAGGCTTCCTGTCCCCCCGACAACGGGAATTAGGTGAAGTTGAGAGCACGAACCCGTCCTCATGATGTGTGGTGTTGGAGGAGCCTTTGTGTTGGTAGTTTGGACCCCTTCATGGTGGTGTGTGTGTGTGTGTGTGTGTGTGTGTGTGTGTGTGTGTGTGTGTGTGTGTGTGTGTGTGTGAAGGTCATTCTAGAGAGTTACAGATGGCTGTGCTTAGGAGGAGGGGTAGAGTGATAGAATATTTGAGGTGTTTCATTACCTCTCTTCTCCCTGCTCCCCTCCCTCTCTCTCTTCTCCTCCCTCCCCCTCCCCCTCCACCCTTCAAGGTCGAGCTTAGCATTACTCTTGACGAGAAGATGAATTTCTGTGTAAATTAGATGTTAATTATAATAGCTCTCTCTGTCTCTCTCTCTCTCTCTCTCTCTCTCTCTCTCTCTCTCTCTCTCTCTCTCTCTCTCTCTCTCTCTCTCCTCTCCTCTCCTCTCCTCTCCTCTCCTCTCCTCTCCTCTCCTTCCATCATCAGTCATCCGTAACAAATAGAACTATTTTGCCTTACCAGAAATGTACAAACCCAAGGAAACCAGCTAACCTTTTCCCCGGTTCCTTTTCTCTTTCCTCTTCCTCCAGTTCTGCTTCGCCTCTCTCGTCTTTTTGCAGTTCCTCACCTTCTTCTTTTTCCAGTGGCTCTTCTCCTTTCTTTCTCTTCCAGGTTTGCGTTTCTCTTGTGTTTCACATCTGGTTGGGTGGTTGAGTAAATATCTTTGGTTTTCCATAGGCTCCTGTTTTGTGAACATACTGTTGCTGTACACTATATAGAGGCGAGTAAAAAAATGTGATATATACGACTGGAAGTATTTTTGTGAGGTGCTGGAAGTTCCTCTGCCAGCCGCTGGAAGTTCCTCTGCCAGCCACTGGAAGTTCCTCTGCCAGCCGCTGGAAGTTCCTCTGCCAGCCGCTGGAAGTTCCTCTGCCAGCCGCTGGAAGTTCCTCTGCCAGCCGCTGGAAGTTCCTCTGCCAGCCGCTGGAAGTTCCTCTGCCAGCCGCTGGAAGTTCCTCTGCCAGCCGCTGGAAGTTCCTCTTCCAGCCACTGGAAGTGACAATGTAAATCACTCCCAAAACCCTCAAATAAACTGAAATAAACCTGATTTTACGTGGCCTGGAAGGTGGGTCTCCACCACACCAGTCTTCGTCACTCGCTATTCAACCTCTGGCTGAAACAGGGAACGGTGATGATCCACGTTCATTATGCCTCGAAATTGTGCCACAGATTCTTGGCTGGAACTTACGAGACTGTGGCCAAAAATACAGTCAATACGGAACGACGACTCGAAGTGACTGCAAGATGCCCCGAAAGACATTGAAGCTCTGGACGATCTTCAGGCCCTGAATGAGCTTGAGGCTCTGGATGATCTTGAAGCCCTGAATGATTCTGAAGCCCTGGATGAGCTTCAAACCCTGGTTAACCTTGCAGGACTTAGCCCCTCGAAGGCCCAAGTAGTACCATTGGCATCGAGACGTGAACACTGAGAGACTCTTGGAGACGGCGCGCGAGGGCGTGCTTCTTTCTTCGCCATGAGAGATGGGCGTGGAGCTTCCGTGGGCGGTGGGCGCCACCGCCTCACCATTACCACCTTCGTGCTTGGTGGCTCTGCAGGTGCGTTGTACAGGTGTACACAGGTATCAAGGGGGTTTGTGGCCTAGCTGCTTTGTGTGTGTCGACGGTACTAGCTTTGTGTTTTGTGACGCGCGAGTGTGTGTGTGTCTTGTGTGTTGCGACACTTATTTAATACTCTTGTTTCTAGCATTTGTTTGTGAATTGACACCCGTCTGTGACATTTATTAACAGTGACACATGTTTGAGAGTTGACACTTGCTTGTGGGTTGACACTTGTTCGTCATCTGTGACACATTCTTGTGCATTGTGATATTTGTTTGTGAATTGGGAGACTTGCTTGTGCGTTGTGACAACTGTCTGTGAGTTGTTACACTTCTTTGTACGTCACGAAACAATGTTTGGGAGCTGTAGTACATGCCTTTGTTTTAATGTTTTTCGTACCTGAACGTGTACTAAACCTCCCCCCCCTCCTTTATCACCCGTTGACATCATCCATTATGAACACGTGTTGCTGTCAACAGAAACATTTGTCTCAACTGTTCGCCAAGCACGCAGTCACACCTGTTTTAAGAAACAGGTGACTCAGTCTAATTTGAAAATTGAATAGAAGGGTTGAACCCGCCAAACACACACACACACCGAAACTACGACGTTGGTACAACGTTCGAACAAGTTTTAACACCTCCTATAACCAGTTCTAACAACCAATATAGCAAGTTGTAACAACGTTCTAATACGTCATAAACACGTTAAGCCAAGATATAACAACTTTATTACAAGTTGTAACAAGCGGAAAATAGAGACAGTTTCGGTTTGTGTTTCCAGGGAACTGGCTTCTTCCTTCCGTGAGGTACAGTGTGAGCGCCTCACGGAAGTGTGAGTGCCTGAGGGAAGTGTGAGTGCCTGAGGGAAGTGTGAGGGCCTCAGGGAAGTGTGAGTACCTCAGGGAAGTGTGAGTACCTCAGGGAAGTGTGAGTACCTCAGGGAAGTGTGAGTACCTCAGGGAAGTGTGAGTGCCTCAGGGAAGTGTGAGTACCTCAGGGAAGTGTGAGTGCCTGAGGGAAGTGTGAGTGCCTGAGGGAAGTGTGAGTACCTCAGGGAAGTGTGAGTGCCTGAGGGAAGTGTGAGTGCCTGAGGGAAGTGTGAGTACCTCAGGGAAGTGTGAGTGCCTGAGGGAAGTGTGAGTACCTCAGGGAAGTGTGAGTGCCTCAGGGAAGTGAGAGTGCCTCAGGGAAGTGAGAGTGCCTCAGGGAAGTGTGAGTGCCTCAGGGAAGTGTGAGTGCCTCAGGGAAGTGAGAGTGCCTCAGGGAAGTGTGAGTGCCTCAGGGAAGTGAGAGTGCCTCAGGGAAGTGTGAGTGCCTCAGGGAAGTGAGAGTGCCTCAGGGAAGTGTGAGTGCCTCAGGGAAGTGAGAGTGCCTCAGGGAAGTGTGAGTACCTCAGGGAAGTGTGAGTACCTCAGGGAAGTGTGAGTGCCTGAGGGAAGTGTGAGTGCCTGAGGGAAGTGTGAGTGCCTCACGGAAGTGTGAGTGCCTGAGGGAAGTGTGAGGGCCTCAGGGAAGTGTGAGTGCCTCACAGTGTGACTACAGTGGACGTAATTCTGAGACATTCTGAGACTCCAGCGTCACGAAATCCAATAAGTAATAATAATTCTAATTACTCCTGAGCTTTATTGCTCTGGTATTGGTGTAATTTTCTTGGTGAATAGCACTATTATGCCGGTCATTTATGACGTCACCAGTATATTGGCGGAGAACACGTGTACAGGTGTTTGGAACAGGTGTTCAGGGGATGGCATAGTTCCACACCTGAGCACACCTGTCTTGGCAACCCAGATCCGTCTCATTCCCCTCTACTCGCACCTCTCCACTATCTGAAGCAGGTCTTTTAAGAGGTGTGAGGCCTGTTTCTTAGGGGGGGGGGTTATACCTACTTCTTAGGGGGGTTATACCTACTTCTTAGGGGGGGGTTATACCTACTTCTTAGGGGGGGTTATACCTACTTCTTAAAGGGGGGGGTATACCTACTTCTTAGGGGGGGTTATACCTACTTCTTAGGGGGGGGTTATACCTACTTCTTAGGGGGGTTATACCTACTTCTTAGGGGGGGGTTATACCTACTTCTTAGGGGGGGTTATACCTACTTCTTAGGGGGGGGGTTATACCTACTTCTTAGGGGGGGGTTATACCTACTTCTTAGGGGGGGGGGGGGTATACCTACTTTTTAGGGGGGGTTATACCTACTTCTTAGGGGGGTTATACCTACTTCTTAGGGGGGGTTATACCTACTTCTTAGGGGGGGGGGGTTATACCTACTTCTTAGGGGGGTTATACCTACTTCTTAGGGGGGGGGGGTGAGGCCTGTTTTTCAGGGGGGGGTGAGGCCTGTTTCTTAGGGGGGGATTGAGACCTATTTCTTAGGGGGGGGGTGAGAACTGTTTCTCATGGGCACTAGGATTTTCATTGATTTTCAGTTATCAATACAGATAACAATCCATAATTGACCTCTTTAAGTCCTCTCGCTATATTGTCTCTGGCTATATCAGAGGGAAGTGAGGACACACATACGCACACACACACTCTAACAGGCACCCTAAGGGGACTCTGATGGCTGAGTGGACAGCGCTCGGGATTCGTAGTCCTAAGGGTCCGGGTTCGATCCCCGGCGGAGGCGGAAACAAATGGGCTGAGTTTCTTTCACCCTGATCTTTCTTTCTTTCCACCCTTTCTTTCACCTAGCAGTAAATAGATACCCGGGGGGTTAGACAGCTGCTACGGGTTGCTTCCTGGTGTGTGTGTGTGTGTGTGTGTGTGTGTGTGTGTGTGTGTGTGTGTGTGTGTGTGTGTGTGTGTGTGTGTGTGTGTGGAAAAAAAATCTGTTGATTTATTGACAGTTGAGAGGCAAGCCCAAAGAGCCAGAGCTCAACCCCCATAAGCACAACTAGGTGAATACAACTAGTAGAACTCACACACACACACACACACACACACACACACACACACACACACACACACACACACACACACACACACACACACACACACAAATGTGAAAATCAAAAATATTTTCGGGTGATCTGGCTCAAGAAACATCTTTTAAGCCAGAAATTTCTTCCTTAAAGGAAAGAATCAATTGAACAAATCCACAAGGGCCGTGACGAAGATTCGAACCTACCTCCGAGAGGATCCCAGACGCTGCCTTAATGTGTGGAGGTGGCCACACATCACTTGATGCATCACGCTATTGTGATTTCTCTTGTGTATAAAGAATCATTTGTGTGAGCCGGAAATAATAGGCGCGCACACCCTTTCCCGCCAACAGAGCCGTCGCTGCGGAGTGTGGTGGTGGAGGAAGAGGATTGCGTGAGTGACTCGCTGCTGGAGAGGTTCCTGCAGTGCCCCAGTGGAGGAGGACAGGGCTGCGAGCGACGGCTCCGTTCCATCACCCTGACCAAGGAGGAAGGCTCCCTGGGAGTGATGATCGCAGAGGGCGCGGATCATGGCCTTTACATCCAGGGCGTCTCCCCCGGCGGCCCGGCGGCCCTCGAGGGCTCCCTTCAACCTGGTGAGTATCTTGTGCGGCCTGGCTGGCTCTGTGTACTGTCTTCACCCCCTCTATGGCTTGGGGAAGACGTGGGGTGGGTTAGGTAGGGGCAACCCAGGGTGTAGGAAGGGGGGTAGTAGGTCCACAATAGCCTGGTTGGTCACTAGGCTATTGTGGTGGCCTTAATTCCCTCCAGAGGTTGATAGGCTTTCAACCCAATACCAAAAACCTTATGATTGCTAGAATGAAACCTATTTTAATTCTAAGGTCTCTAGGACTCTTTTAGTTCTAAAGCATAATAAAGTAACATGTTAAATATGCCTTATGCTAACTATGCTTTATGTTAAATATGCTCTATGTTAAATATGCTCTATGTTAAATATGCTTTAGATGCTAAACAATTTATATGTTAAATATCACCACATTTGGGGGCGTACAATGAAGGAAACTATATTGTTCATTTATTTGCTTCATCGGATTACAGAGTTATACAATAGTGAACAATTACAAACAGTAAAGTTGGTGATGAGGCGAGACTGTAACACTGTTGACCAGTTTAGACATTGTAACAACATGACGGAGTACAATAGTCCAACTCACGCACGTGACATGACAGTGTGAACCTGTGACATGACAGTGCCAACCTGTGACATGACAGTGCCAACCTGTGACATGACAGTGCCAACCTGTGACATGACAGTGCCAACCTGTGACATGACAGTGCCAACCTGTGACACGAGTGCCAACCTGTGACACGAGTGCCAACCTGTGACACGAGTGCCAACCTGTGACACGAGTGCCAACCTGTGACACGAGTGCCAACCTGTGACACGAGTGCCAATCTGTGACACGAGTGCCAACCTGTGACACGAGTGCCAACCTGTGACACGAGTGCCAACCTGTGACATGACAGTGCCAACCTGTGACACGAGTGCCAACCTGTGACACGAGTGCCAACCTGTGACACGAGTGCCAACCTGTGACATGACAGTGCCAACCTGTGACACGAGTGCCAACCTGTGACACGAGTGCCAACCTGTGACACGAGTGCCAACCTGTGACATGAGTGCCAACCTGTGACACGAGTGCCAACCTGTGACACGAGTGCCAACCTGTGACACGAGTGCCAACCTGTGACATGACAGTGCCAACCTGTGACACGAGTGCCAACCTGTGACACGAGTGCCAACCTGTGACACGAGTGCCAACCTGTGACATGACAGTGCCAACCTGTGACACGAGTGCCAACCTGTGACACGAGTGCCAACCTGTGACACGAGTGCCAACCTGTGACACGAGTGCCAACCTGTGACACGAGTGCCAACCTGTGACACGAGTGCCAACCTGTGACATGACAGTGCCAACATGTGACATGACAGATGGAAACAGCACAACCCAAGGGTTATTATTATTATATAAACCTCGTGATGCCTCGGAGCTCACAAACTATTAAATTAAGTCGTCATAATTGAGGGAAGATGTAGAGGTTTCGTAAGCGTGGGTTAAGTTAGGGGGGGGGTTGACTCCCCCCATTCGGCACATATATGGCCAGAAGTAACACTGGAAAGCATCCAGGTGTGGGGCCAGTAGCAGTGTTGTGTGATACGCCACTCTGGTCATGGGTACCGGAGAGAAGGGGCTCTGTTCCAAGGACCTTCAGGTTGGCGAATGGTTGTGGATGGAATCGAAAAAAGGTTGTGAATAGGTTGTAGCAAGGTTGTGAATAGGCTGTAGAAAGGGTGTGAATAGGCTGTAGCAAGGGTGTGAATAGGTTTACCTGGAGAGAGAATGTTTCGAGAGTTCTTCTATTCCTAGAGCCCTGCCTGGGTCCAGGCTGTAGAAAGGTTGTGAATAGGCTGTAGAAAGGGTGTGAATAGGCTGAAGAAAGGTTGTGAATAGGCTGTAGAAAGGGTGTGAATAGGCTGTAGAAAGGGTGTGAATAGGCTGTAGAAAGGGTGTGAATAGGCTGTAGAAAGGGTGTGAATAGGCTGAAGAAAGGGTGTGAATAGGCTGAAGAAAGGGTGTGAATAGGCTGAAGAAAGGGTGAAGGTGGGTATTAGGGTACGAAACAGTAGCATAATAATATAAACATTAAATAAACACCGAATCCTTAAATCGACGCAAAATCGACATTGTATCAACATTAGTGGCGGTACCACTGGTCTGCGCCTGAGGTGTGTGTGTGTGTAGTGAAGGGTACACGGTACTGGTACCCGGAGGTGAACTGCGGGTACGACGGGGGTCTGGGCTGTACCGTTGGTGTGGTGCCTCCCAGTGATCCCAGCCCTCCTGGGGGCTGTGGTGTCTGCTGGCTCTGCGGTGGCGTCTGAGGCCTTGGAGGTGCCGTCTGAGGCCTTGGAGGTGGCGTCTGAGGCCTTGGAGGTGGCGTCTGAGGCCTTGGAGGTGGCGTCTGAGGCCTTGAAGGTGGCGTCTGAGGCCTTGGAGGTGGCGTCTGAGGCCTTGGAGGTGGCGTCTGAGGCCTTGAAGGTGGCGTCTGAGGCCTTGGAGGTGGCGTCTGTGGCCTTGGAGGTGGCGTCTGAGGCCTTGGAGGTGGCGTCTGAGGCCTTGAAGGTGGCGTCTGAGGCCTTGGAGGTGGCGTCTGTGGCCTTGGAGGTGGCGTCTGAGGCTTTGGAGGTGGCGTCTGTGGCCTTGGAGGTGGCGTCTGAGGCCTTGGAGGTGGCGTCTGAGGCCTTGGAGGTGGGGTCTGTGGCCTTGGAGGCAAAGTGTTTATCTGAGGAGGCACCGTCTGCGGCCTTGGAGGCAAAGTGTTTATGAGAGGAGGCACCGTCTGCGGCCTTGGAGGTGGCGTCTGAGGCCTTGGAGGTGGGGTCTGCGGCCTTGGAGGCAAAGTGTTTATGAGAGGAGGCACCGTCTGCGGCCTTGGAGGAGGCGTCTGAGGCCTTGGAGTTGGGGTCTGCGGCCTTGGAGGCAAAGTGTTTATGAGAGGAGGCACCGTCTGCGGCCTTGGAGGCAAAGTGTTTATGAGAGGAGGCACCGTCTGCGGCCTTGGAGGCAAAGTGTTTATGAGAGGAGGCACCGTCTGCGGCCTTGGAGGTGGCGTCTGAGGCCTTGGAGTTGGGGTCTGCGGCCTTGGAGGTAGCGTCTGAGCCATTGGAGGTGGCGTCTGAGGCCTTGGAGGCAGTGTCTGCGGCCTTGGAGGCAGCGTCTGTGGCCTTGGAGGCAGCGTCTGCGGCCTTGGAAGCAGCGTCTGTGGCCTTGGAGGTGGCGTCTGTGGCCTTGGAGGTGGCGTCTGTGGCCTTGGAGGTGGCGTCTGTGGCCTTGGAGGTGGCGTCTGTGGCCTTGGAGGTGGCGTCTGTGGCCTTGGAGGTGGCGTCTGTGGCCTTGGAGGTGGCGTCTGAGGCCTTGGAGGTGGCGTCTGTGGCCTTGGAGGTGGTGTCTGTGGCCTTGGAGGTGGGGTCAGTGGCCTTGGAGGTGGCGTCTGTGGCCTTGGAGGTGGCGTCTGTGGCCTTGGAGGTGGTGTCTGTGGCCTTGGAGGTAGCGTCTGCGGCCTTGGAGGTAGCGTCTGAGGCCTTGGAGGCAACGTCTGAGGCCTTGGAGGTAGCGTCTGTGGCCTTGGAGGTGGCGTCTGTGGCCTTGGAGGTGGGGTCAGCGGCCTTGGAGGTAGCGTCTGAGGCCCTGGAGGTGGGGTCAGCGGCCTTGGAGGTGGCGTCTGAGGCCTTGGAGGTGGGGTCAGCGGCCTTGGAGGTGGCGTTTGCGGCCTTGGAGGTGGCGTCTGAGGCCTTGGAAGTAGCGTCTGAGGCATTGGTGGTGACGTCTGAGGCCTTGGAGGTGGCGTCTGCGGCCTTGGAGGTAGCGTCTGAGGCCTTGGAGGTGGGGTCAGCGGCCTTGGAGGTGGCGTTTGCGGCCTTGGAGGTGGCGTCTGAGGCCTTGGAAGTAGCGTCTGAGGCATTGGAGGTAGCGTCTGAGGCCTTGGAGGTGGGGTCAGCGGCCTTGGAGGTAGCGTCTGAGGCCTTGGAGGTAGCGTCTGCGGCCTTGGAGGTAGCGTCTGCGGCCTTGGAGGTAGCGTCTGAGGTCTTGGAGGCAGCGTAGATGGCGCGTGGGGCTTGGAGGTGGGTCTGTGGCCAGACAAGTGTGGGTGCTGAGCGAGGGCTGTGTACTGCTGGAGCTGCTCCCTGGTCACGTCTACCTCATAGGGCGCCGCCCCTGGCACCTGGACCTGCAGGAGGCGAGGCACACCACACTGTTATGTCACGCTTGTTGCATAGTCCCATCAGGTCGTCCCTGTCGACCCTGTCGACCCTGTCGACCCTGTGCCCCTGGCGCCTCTGGGTGCCAAGTACCCTATAATCATCAATGGCACTATCCTCCTAAGATGATAATGCTTATGGCAGCAGTTTGGTCAAACGTACCAATATGCACTGTTTGTCCCCAATATGTGTTACTAAATTACCCTAAATGGCATCATAGAATACTGGAAATGTAACCACAGAACCTAACGTGTCCAAGCTATCGTAGGTCTAATAGACGCTATCGTAGGTCTAATAGACGCTATCGTAGGCCTAATAGACGCTATCGTAGGCCTAATATAGTACATGTATGTTCCATATTAGCCTTGCAATGTTTAAATTTGGTTTGTAGCTTTTTTCGGACTATGAAATGAATAGTATAATATTTGAACTGTTTGAGGGTTAAAGGGTGTGTGTGTGTGTGGGTGTGTGGGTGTGGGTGTGGGTGTGTGTGTGTGTGTGTGTGTGTGTGTGTGTGTGTGTGTGTGTGTGTGTGTGTGTGTGTGTGTGTGTGTGTGTGTGTGTGTGTGTGTGTGTGTGTGTGTGTGTGTGTGTGTGTGTGTGTGTGTGTGTGTGTGTGTGGGTGTGGGTGTGGGTGTGTGTGTGTGTGTGTGTGTGTGTGTGTGTGTGTGTGTGTGTGTGTGTGTGTGTGTGTGTGTGTGTGTGTGTGTGTGTGTGTGTGTGGGGTTACCTGGTATGTGGCTCTGTTGTGGTCGATGTCGGCGAGGTGGTGGGGTAGGTCGGGGGACTCGAACACCTGGGCGTTGTACCCTC